ATTAAGACCTCTTATTAAGGCTTTGCTTTAGGCCTCAGATGATGTTGGGCCGTCCATATATGTACGCAGACCTTTCCTCTACCATATGAAGGTGAAAATGTTGTTTTGATAGACCCTTGGTTCAAGAACAATGAAAGTAAATAATAACCAATTAATAGCAACAATAAGGTAAAAACAACGAAAGCGATGGCAAAAGATTTAATAATCAAGGTTAAGGAATACGAGAATACAAGACTAGTGCTAATACTACTTCATGTCAACCCACAACCTTAATTCTAAACCGTCACACTTTTCTGTCGAGGGTCACGTCCTCGGTAAGCTGAAGTTGTGTCATATCCTGCCTAATCATCTCTCCTTAATACTTCTTAGGCCTCCCTCTATCATCTTCTCTAACCCGCCACGGTCAACTCCTCACACCTCCTGATCCGGGCATCAGAGCCTCTCCTCTTCACATGTCCGAACCATCTCAACCTCGATTCCCGCAACTTGTCTTCCACAGGAGCCACGCCCACCTTGTCCCTAATAACTTCATTCATGATCTTGTCTTTCCTGGTATGTGCATACATCCATCTTAACATCCTCATTTCTGCTACTCTCATCTTCTGAACATGAGGTTTCTTGACTGGCCAACACTCGACTCCATATAATACAGTCGGCCTAATAACCATTCTGTATAACTTACCCTAAGTCTAGGTGGCACATTTCTATCGCACAAGACACTGGATGTGAGCTTCTATTTCATCCACCCCGTTTCAATACGATGAATAACATCCTCATCAATCTCCCCGTTACCTTGTATTATGAATCTAATGTATTTGAAACTATCCTTCTTGAAAATGACTTGTGTATCAAACTTCACGTCCACTTAAAAGAAAAATATCAAAAACAATAACAATGAAAAATAAAAGAAATTTGGTCCCGATTATCTGGTGGAGTTTAAGAGGTCTTTAATATCAAATTGCTCATTTTTATAACCAGAGAGATCATTAATTAAGTTTTTAACTTATACAAATGGAATACTGTGGTTCCTACTTTTAGCATGTAATTCTCTTTTCGCCGAAGTTAATTAAGTTATTAACCTAGAAGTTAAATGAAGGACTGCTTTTCAGCTTCTTATGTTCCTTTTGATTTTGACATTTTCTTCTCCACCTCTTTGACGACCTTAAAACATTATATAAGTTGTAATACATGTTGTTTCTATAGTTGTGACAGTGAAATGCAATTAAAAATTTGATACTATTGGATGACACCTGAGAAGAAGATAAAGCAATTGAAGTTATATAAAAATATTATGAATGATCCAGTTCCTTTTTTTAAGCAAATGTTTTGAGAAAATCATAAGCACTGTCACCATTTTATTTACTATTTCATATCAACTTCTAATAAATTCAATATTTTCTCTTTTTAAAACCAGATATCAATGTAGCCATTAGAATAATTTTAAATTTCACAAAATAAAAATTTTCAAACACATTATATTTACCAAAGATTATGTAGTGTGAGGTTAAGTTTAATTTCTATGTTCCTAAAAAGAATGATATAATTACTTAAATATTCTCAAAAGTTGCATAAATATTTGAAAAATAAATAAAAAAGTTCATTTTAATCATGCTATTTTTTGAATAAAAAGTAGTTGAATAGCAATCAAGAAAATTATTGACTTCCCAAACAATAATATAGTTCTTGTTTGGACGGAGAGCATTTTTCATACCATTTCTGTACCCTACGCTATACTACTACCGTATACTAAGAGATAAAATATACGAGTATAACGATGGTATGTAGAAAGTATTTAAGCGTATTACCGCTCTATCTTCTTTTTTAGCTCAGTGAAACAAAAATTCTCAAAAGAAAAGAACAACAAAAAATTCACCTGAAAAGAAAAGAAAAAGAGAAGAACCAATTGTCGTAGAAATAGCCGGAAAAAGTTCAGCGATGCAACGTGGAAGTGGCGGAGGCAGTGGATTATCCCGGTACCGTTCAGCTCCGGCGACATGGTTAGAAGCACTTCTCGAATCCGACACTGAAAACGAAGTGGTTCTTAACCCTTCTTCTCCCATTTTACACTCACCCAATAAACCACCACCCCACCCATCAACTACTCAGCAGCAGCTTCCGGAGCTTGTTAAACCGGAAACTAGGTTCACTGGCGATCCGGGTCTGTTTGAATCCGGCGGTAGTAGTAATTTTCTCCGGCAGCAGAGTTCTCCGGCGGAGTTTCTTTCACATATTAACTCAGATGGTTACTTCTCAAGCTATGGAATTCCCTCCAGTTTGAACTATATTTCTCAGCCAATTAAGCGGCCCAGAGAAGATGATTCCGAAAGTTCGCCCCGAAAATTATCAGCCCACTTGGTTAGTATAAACTTTACCAGCTCATCTGATGTTAAAACTTTTGTTATCCCTAAATTCGGGTTGATATTTTTCTTGAGGCGAGCATGTGGATATTTCAACCTTCAAAAGTATTGAGATTACTTCTCAAAAAAAAAAGTATTGAGATTACTTTGTTAATGTTTGTAAACTAACATGGTCTTGAATATTCATCTCATTTGAGAAGTAGTACATGACTTGACTTTCCCTTAAAAAATGTTTGTCTACCTTTGTATTGTGTTTTATGGCTACGCGAATGAGATTGTTGAAAGCATATTTTCCTTGTGGAAGTAACATATATTTGTCTTCTTCTATATGTTTCTTTTCTTGTTACTCCCTTTGTCCCAATATATGTGGCACCATTTGACTTTGGATACAGAGTTTAAGAAGAAATCAAGAATGACTTTGAAACTTGTGGTCTAAAACAAGCCTTAGACATTTGTACGTGGTTGTAAATCATCTCATTAAGGTACTATGGATATTCTAAAGTTAAATTGTTTCTAAATATAGAAAGGCGGCGGGATGGTGTGCCACTGCCACATAAATTGCGACAGAGGGAGTATTATTTCTGTATGGATTGAACTTTAAGTCTTCTTGTTGTTGTCCAAATATAAGCAATGGCGAAAGATCAGTATACGAGGATAATTGAATTGGTTCCTTAAAATTAGTAATAACAAATTATTAGTTAATAACTCTAACAACCAATAGTCGTTGAAAACTGTTTGTGCATAAACTTTGAAGCAATTCTGTCTAATGTGTGACTTTTCTTTTTTGGTGTCTCCTGAAGCACTATTCTTTCTATTAATATTTACGTACTTACAGCTGTTTGTGTTTGGGAGGTGTAGAAGGGAGAGCCAAGTGGACAGTTACGTGGTTCTGGTGGATCACTGGATGCTGAAATGGAGAAGCTCATGGATGATTTGGTGCCTTGTAAGGTTCGAGCAAAGCGTGGTTGTGCTACCCATCCTCGCAGCATTGCTGAGCGAGTAAATCATATTCCTTTTCTTCCCCTTTCTCTCTTTTTACTTGTGATTACCTGGGTTTACAGGCAATTTAAATCAACCAATCATTAATCTAAAAAGGTTATGCTTGTACTTCTCTTGTGCAAGGTTCGTCGAACGCGCATAAGTGACAGAATAAGGAAGCTTCAGGAACTGGTGCCAAGTATGGACAAGGTAAATTATTTTGTGGGAGCTCCTTGTACATCTTTTAAAGTGCTGCATAATAGCAATTTCATGAGGGCTTTGATTTGTGCTAATTATAGGGATTTGGCGCTTGTTATTTTCACCCTTTTATCATGTCTCCCTCAACAGGAAAAATGATGAACAAGACAATCACCTTTAATCTCGAAGTGATAATCAATTTATTTATGACATCAACAATCCTAATGGGTGAGTCCATCAAATGAATGGAGAAAAGTAGTTACGAAGAATAAAAAATGTATCTTGTGGCAATTGATTCCAGACTTGCAACTGATTCTATAAAACATTATTCAATCTTAAAGATGATTTTACACAAATCTAATAACTAATTGTCCAAGTTATAGCCATAGTTAAAAGGCAAATGCTTTCTAAAGAAATACCAATGAATCCCTGCTAAATGGTTTACCATTTTCTACTGGGTTGATTATGGTCAATGTAACACTCACCAGAGATAAGCTCTTGCCTATTCACCAAAGAGGCAAAGACCAACAATCATTAGAGTCGGTCCTAATCTTTAGAAATTGTAAGCAGTACGACAAATTTCATTTCTACTTGTTGGATATGTTTCATCTGCTTATGCCAAGCCTTCCATGATGAACTCACAATAGCCAATTAACATCAAACCCTGAGTTTTTCCCCTGCATAGGGGGAGTAAACGGAGCTCTAATATTGATTTGTCAAAACTCAACCCTCTTGTTGCTAGTGGAAGTAAAGGCCAGATCTTGCCCATATTCTAGAGATTTTTTCAACAGTCGAAGCATTTTGAACAACTTCTCAGTGACGTCCTAATAACATGTACTAGCGTTACATGGACGATTTGGTTGTTTTTCAAACAGCAATTGTCGACCACCTCAAATATTTTGCAATATTAAATTCCTCACAAATGACACTTCTCCCAAACAGCGTGCCCATTAGATGAAGATTATTCTCCATGTGATGAAGATCGACTTAGGGTAGATAGTAGTATGACATAAATATCACTGCGCAGGTGGCATTCTTTAGTTGGGAACTTATCAGTAAAAATATATGAGGCTTTTTCTGCTAGGAAGCCAGGGTAAGCACAATAGACATCCTTTTGATAGTCAAAGCCTTAAGCTTTTGTAGAACCATACAGCCTAAGAGATCTTACGAGGACTATATATGATCTTACATGTAAAGTTCAAGGTGGATGATCCTAATATTGGTTGGGACCCGAATTTGTTCCTGGATTGTGTTAGACGCAGATTCAGGATTGAGGCATAATTGATTGATTGATTTGGTTAGATATTTTAGAAGATTACTCGCAGTTGTTTGATATGCGAGATATTTTATTTTGCTAGGATGAACATGTTGGGAGTGCCAGGAAGTACGGTTAAAGTGTCTTTTCCAAGATAGTATTTTGGTCAATCATCAGTTATTATGTGGGTTAAAAATGAAAGCACAATATAAGTAAATGATGCATTCCCAAACTTTCAAAAATCTAACCAATAGATCAAATGCTTAACCTTAGCAATGACCGCTAATATTACCAACTACGTCTTGATTCCATGATCTTTAATTTAAGTCTGAGTTAAATAATCCAGATATGGTACTGTTTCTAGGTGTATAAATGAGTCTTTGCCTTTATTAAAAAAATGAGTTTTTATCTTATAGGATGGGCAAAGTACTCCCATTGTCCCGTCTGTTAAAGATTGCACACCAAAATGTTTCTTCAGCTGAATGCATATGAAAATATCTTAATAGTTTGAGAAGTACTTTAAAATCTCCTTCCATTGACAGACATTTGATTGGAGAATACGATAGCTTAGATTTGGCTTCTCAAAATATCTTGGAGTTTGAGTGTAGAATCTCCTCTTTATTATCTCTGTCTCCCTTAGTCTTCTCTCTTTCTACCTTTTGCTCTCTCTCTCTCTCTCTCTCTCTCTCTCTCTCTCTCTCTCTCTCTCNACTAAATTCGAATTTTAAAACTTTATCTATTAACTCAAAACTATTTTTTAATTCAAACTCTCTCTCTCTCTCTCTCTCTCTCTCTCTCTCACATATCTCTATTTCACCTTTTCGGTGCCATATCATTTACCAAGCCCGTTCCACCCTTGAGCTTCTCTTAGACCTCAATATGTGGCTGATGCCCTGATTTATCCATATTTCTTATTTCATGTCTATATCCTTGGTGTTTTGACTTCACTAAGAAACAATGTCTTGCTCATTTTTGGGCTGGACAAAATGTCATGTTTTTGTGGTTCATGAGGATCAATAGTTGAAGAAGGTACATAAACAAAGAAGTGGACATGAAAATAATCTCCCACTCCCCCTTTCCCCCACAGTGAAAAAGCTATTTTACAATAATGTGACATTAAGAATGAACAAGTAAATCTAAGGTTTAAATATAAAAGATATATTTTTCAGCAGATTTTTTTGGGGGGGGGGGGGGCGCATCTAACTGGAAATAGATTGACTGTTTTACTTCTAGTTGACTATGCTGTTCTTATTGTAGCTCATGCAATTCATGATTGGCACTGACTTTTGCTATCCACAGCAAACCAACACTGCCGACATGTTGGAAGAAGCAGTTGAATATGTCAAGTTTCTGCAGAAACAGATTCAGGTAAGTCATGAATTCACTCATGTGATTGAATATCCCGAAACTCACACAGATAAAAGGTAGTGAGTTAGACAATAAGAAAAGTAACTTGGACAAAAAGAAATTAAGTGTCTGATAACCTCAGACCAACAATGATCAGTTGGCTCCTCGCTGCTGCACATAGAAAGTGAGTGAATTGCCAGCCGCATGCGATTTCTTGACCGGTCTTGTTTCATATTTCTGCAACAAGAAATTACTTCCAGTTTCTGATTAAATACATTTAGTTATTAATCTGTGAGATCTTTTAATATATTTATGTCACATAATTTGATTAATCATTAATGGTAGTTACTGACTTAATGAAGTGCGTAGTTAAAAGAGCAAGCACTGGATTGTCACAATTAGACCCAAGGAAGGGTTTCATTTTACAAAATCTAATGCTGCAGGAGCTTACGGAGCATCAGAAGAAATGCACGTGTTCAGAGAAGGATCAATAATTTGAAGAAGAGAGTTCCACTAGAGTATATAGGCAATAGTTTGCTCAGATGTATGCGCTTTGGACATGGTAATTTTATCCTCAACATCCTATTCTTCTTCATATGTAGATATTAATGGCAATTCACAAGAGCTTGGCTACTGCAGAATCCAAAATCAGCTTTTCTTTTAGTATTAAATCTAGGTCGTACTCTGTTTTTTGGTGTAGTTGTATCATGTTGTATAAGGTAGTGTCAATTTGCTTAATATCAAATTTCCTCAGCTGAAAGACTTCTCCTTTCTGAAGATGTAGTCAGAATAGGTAGACCTGTCCTGTTGAAAGCAAACTCAAATCAATAAATATTGTTGTAAATGTGAGACATGGCACATCATAACTTTCTTGTAAATATCAAATTTGACTTTATAGGTAAATCATTTGTCCATGTACGAGCATATGTTTTTGAAGCAACTGGCCTGTGTAGGTAGGAAAGAAGCTCATTGCAGGTCTGCTGATGAGAGTATTTGAATAAGGGAGCAATCTTTCTAATATGAGTTGCACATGTAAACGTAAGTTAGTAGGTTAAGGGATATCTGCTGGAAACAGCAGCTCTGCATACATAAAGTTTTCTTGGGAATAGCTGAAGAAATTATGATGTTGTAATATGTATATTATCCTTCTGTGCTGTGGAGAGAAGATAACATCAACATATAGATGCTCATAGTACGTATATTACAAACAGTGTATTGCAGGGACCAATTGCCAGCTATATTCACTCCTTGTCCCGGTGAGTAACCTTCTTTTCCTGTTTAAAAAAACAGAATAAAAGTATTACAAAATTGATTTTAGATGCTCTTGCTAGTTTTAATTCAGAATATGTAGTGTGTAACTAGCATCGAGAAACCAGTGGTGATGCACGACCTTTTAAGGAAAAGTGATACAGTATTACTTGTATGCATTGATGGCGTAAATTATTTACACTATCAAGTCATTTAAGCCAAGTACAAGTGACATTACACAGCATTTGTAAATTGGTAGCCTACAAAATATGGTAAATGACCTATTACTTCCAGTAATACTGACTTGGTAGTGTAAAAATTTTGTTACACCGTCTGTGCATATAAGTTTAACTCAAAGTGATTTTAGGCTAAATATCATTATCTGGTTTATGAAGATGAAATGCTGACACAGCTTATATTTAATTATACGTTCTGCTCTCGCTCTTGGATTACGATTCTTTTTGGTTCATTTGCATGCTTCATTCTTTAGATTTTGTATCAACGAGTATCATGCGAAACTACATTGATTGTGTGCTTGGAAGCTTTTTCAAGAACAAAGGCTTAACTTGTGGGTACATCTTGATGAAAAGAATCGAATATGTAGCCAGTTCTGCATTCTACACTTTTATCTTCCTTATAGGTGAGCTATATTGACGCATACTGGTTGAAAGCTGTTGTTGAAGTGAGAATTAGAGACAACTAATGTTATTATGACTTCGTAAAATGTGCTTCTGTGTACACGGTTGGATCTTAGCCAGTGCACGGTGCACGGCCACACTGCTTTCACCTTGGAAGTTCTATACCTATATGTGAAAAGTTCAAAAAATGTGTGCATCTATAATGAAGTTCACTGCCTCCAACTTTTGGATCAACCCCCACCTGTTGAGACCGTTTGACCTCGTCCCTTATGCATGCTTCATTCTCCGCTGCATCTTGATCTGCCATAAGTGTTTGCTTTTGTAAAGTAGGTGAGCTTTGCAATAACTTCTAGTCCTAGTGCAACATCTTGACCACCAACACACACATTATGGGTGTGTGCGCGCGCACAAGCTCTACAAAAAGAGACATGGTGTATTTTTCTAATTCTGAATTGAGAGGTTTTTGTTTCATTGTAATTTGAAAATTGGTATGTAAACATGAAATCCAAGTGTGTTAAGATGCAGAATAATATCAAACGGCGACAATATACCTAGTATATTCCCACAATATGAGGTGGGGAGGGTAATGTGTACGCAGATTTTATCCCTTGTAGAGGCAGAGAAGCTATTTTTGATAGACACTCAAGAAATGCAATTCTCAATCCAGAATAATATCAATAGCCAACAAATGGGTGCACAGTGCACTGATAGTTCATTAGTTGATAGGCGAAGCGTATATCATTCATATTACTTTTATCAACAAATAATTACACTAAGTTATCACTGTTTATGTAGGAAAATCTTTAATATATGTCAATTTCGGGCCATATCAAGACGACGTAGTATAAAGTTGTTGTGAGGTGGTGGTTATAATTAGTAAAAATTCGATTTTCATATTTGAATTTTTAAAATTTCTATGTCTTAAATTTGTTGCGACTTTTATAGAAGCTAAATTGGTATTTGCACTATTAACTTTCCTTTTAAAATTGTATTCACACCGCAAAAGGACTGTGAGTTGATTCTTTACCAATGTCTTGACGTCCCAATTCCTTTTTAGTCGATTTAAAAAATCGGAGCAATTGTAACATATCAAGAAAAAAATAATTATAAAGTAGCTTTAAAAGAATAGCAAAGATCACAAATGATCTATATAACTAGGTAATACTCTAATCATACCTCACTTCATTCACCTATAAATAATGCTAGGCTTGGATGTAAAAATTTGCATTACTATTTACTAATTTGGACGAGAAGACGATTATCCTTTCAACTATTGTCGCCCTAGATGAAGAACTAAGGAAGATGAGGGCTGAGAATAGGAAGAAGGAGACGGAATTGCTCCTATCTGCATGCATGGAGATGGAGGATCCAGGAAAGGTTATCGACAAGAACGATGTAGTGGATTTTTATAATTTTTTAAACATGAAAATCAAGGGGGACTGATGGGGATTTGAGTTACATTAAGGGGAGGATGGGTTGAAACTAAAAAACTATTGCTAACTAGTCTCTGCCGCTCCACTCCTACTTGGTCAGCCATAACTTGCTTAAAAACAAAAGTTGGTGCGGTATCAAAAAGGCGTAGTCTGCTACCATTATCCAACGTGGAACCATATTTAGCTAATCCATCGGCAACCATGTCGCCTCCCTGTAAGTATGGCAAATGGTAGGATCACCCAATTGTCGTAGTAACAACCTGCAATCATGAATTAAGTTAGTGTAATGGGGGTTATTGTGTTGTAATAAGGTGATTATCTCTTTAGCGTCAATATTGATTTCTAACGGCCGGTAGCCATATTGTAATGAGAGACGTAAGCCATAGAGCAAAGCAGTGAGTTCCGTCTGTATGATGTTTGCAAATGCAATATTAGGGGAGAAACCTAGTTTCCAATCGCCAGTTGATGATCGGATAACCTCTCCAATGCCATCGACTCCTGGCGTCGTAGAGGCGCCTCTATCTCTATTGAGTTTATAGAAGTCTTGAGGAGGAGGATTCCATTTAATATAGAGAGGCATTGTAGGCTTGATTTTTGGGGTTTGGTTTGTGTCACGACCCCAATTTCCCTCAGTAGGATGTCGTGACGGCACCTAATCTCTAAAACTAGGTAAGCCTAACAACATGCACAAACATTAAATAAAAGCTTAGAATTTCAAAACTCCAACAATTTCATAAATAAAATCTGTAAACTCAATAGATTCACCTCCCAAAACCTGGTAAGATATAAGTCACAAGCTCTAAATACAATGCTGAACAATCCTATACATCACTGTCTATAAAAGTGAAATGAAATAAGGAAGAACATGATATAAGGGGACTCCGAGGCCTGCGGACGCAGACATGTGTACCTTGAAGTCTCCAAAAGCAAGCTCAGCGCGCTAGTACCGGGACTGATAAGATGTACTTGGATCTGCACAAAACATGTGAAGAAGCGTCGTATGAGTACACCCCAACTGTACCAGTAAGTGCCAAACCTAACCTCGGTAGAGTAGTGACGAGGTCAGGCCAAGGTCATACTGGAGATAATAAGAAAATAAGACAGAAGACATAACGATATAATGATAATGACAAAGGAAGTGAAACAATAAAGAATCTACGGAAAGTTAACAATACGGAATCAAGGAAGTTAATACGACACGAAAGGAAAACAATGATTTTACATGTTTAGGAACAACAACTAAAACAAATACAACAAATAGAGAAGGATCAATAAGGGGCCCTACCGAGTTACCGCCTCATAGTCCCAAATTATAAAAGTAACTCACACTCTTTCCTTATATCACCGCGGGGGCCTTTACATTTAGTTTTGAAGATCATTTTTCTCGAAATAGCATCCCGCGTTTTAGCCCACCTTATCATATCGCATGACTTCTAGTAGTTCCCCTACTAGCCACGCATATCAAGCCCACCTTATCTCACCGCATGTGTTTCAACACTCAAACCTATACCACCGCATGCGTATAAATAGTAACAACGGCACGATAGAAACCTCGTGCAAATAGTAACAACAGCACGGCAAAAACCTCGTGCAAACAACCAAACAATCCTCTCAACAATAACTCGAATTCCAAAAACAAAATAACTCAATGAAATGATATTTCACAACTTACACTTTGCCTCAATGGAAACCATGACCTTTGCAACTCAACACCAAACTCAACAACAAGATATTTCAAGGATAGCAAATTTCAAGTAAGGAATCCCACAGTTAAATAATGAATTCAAAATTAAGAAAGCAAGTAATTCAACTAAACATGCAGTACAAATTGCAAATAAGAGATAAAACAAGTATACATGCAAAATTAGACAAAACATGGTGGTTATAACATGCTAAAGTAAATCAATTAAAGCATGAAAAAGAGACTACTTAGCTAAAATCGAAATCTCAACATTTAGCCTGTGTACGCACTGGTCACCTTGCGTACGCGACCTCTACATATCACAATTGGCATAACAATACCAAGTCCTAAGAGGAATTTTACCTAAACAATGTTAGACAAGTCACTTACCTCAAACAACGCTAAATCAATCAACTAGAAGGCCTTCCCCTCGATTTTTCAATTCTGAACGGCTCGAATCTAGACAAAATAATTTCATACTATAAATATAACTATAGGAAACTAATTTAAATAATAAAATTATGATTTTAGCAAAGAATTAAAAAATCGCTCCAAAAAGTCTCCACAGGCCCGCACCTCGGAACCCGACCAAAATTACCTCATTTCACCTTTTAAAACTCAAAAATTTAGCCTAAGACGTTTTATCACTTTTTCCCAATTTTTCCAACCTAAATACCTAATTACATGATAAAATCTATGATAGATTAGTGAAATTTAATCCCTCGATTTCAAACTTAAATTCTGCTGCCCAGTTAATTACACATCTCGATCACGGAATATCCTTCACGATCGCAAAGAAGAAAACAAGGCTGCCCCCAAATGGCCTTCGCAAACAGGGTTGACTCCACGCGAATGTGGATAACTGATTGTCACGACCACAAATTTCCTCCGTAGAAGGTCGTGACGACACCTAGTTTCTAAGACTAGGTAAGCCTAACAATATGCAGAACCATTAAATAAAACTTAGAATCTCAAAACTCCAACAATTTCATAAATAGAATCTATAAAAACAATGCGTACAACTCCCCAAAAACCTGGTGAAATATAAGTCACAAACTCTTGATACAGTGCTGAACAATCCTATACATCACTGTCTATAAAAGTGAAATGAAATAAGGAAGAACAGGATAGAAGGGGACTCTGAGGCTTGCGGACGCGGGCAGGTGTACCTTGAAGTCTCCAATAATAAGCTCAGCGCGCTAGTGCTGGGACTGATAAGATGTAAATGGATCTACACAAAAATATGTGCAGAAGCATAGTATGAGTATACCATAACAGTTCCCAGTAAGTGCCAAGCCTAACCTCGGTAGAATATTGACGAGGTAAGGTCAAGGACCTACTAGATATAATAAGAAACAAGACATAAGATATAATGATAATGACAAAGGAAGTGAAACAATAAAGAATTTACGGAAAGTTAACAACACGAAATCAAGGCAGTTAATACAACACGAAGGAAAAACAAGGATTTTACATATTAAGGAAACAACAACTAAACAAATATAGCAAATAGAGAAGATCAACAAGGGCCCTATCGAGATACCGCCTCGTAGTCCCAAATCATAAAAGTAACTCACACTCTTTCCTTATATCACCGCGGGAGCCTTTACATTTAGTTTTGAAGATCATTTTTTCCGAAATAGCACCCCGCGTTTTAGCCCACCTTATCATACCGTATGACTTCTAGTAGTTCCCCTACTAGGCACGCGTATCAAGCCCACCTTATCTCACCGCATGTGTTTCAATACCCAAACCTATACCGCCGTATGCGTATCAATAGTAACAACAACACGACAGAAACCTCGTGCA